AAACATAAAATTCACAAAATAACTATCATTTCATTAAAATATAATTAAATTCAAAAACATTACTTGAAATATAAATGAGCACATACATTAAATTAATAAAAATTACCTTACAATCCTAATTACTTTAAACTAATCATTGCTAATAACAATTTTCCCAATAATACCAAATTCCTTTCCACCTTACATTTAGAACAATGCATAAGAATAATATCCTCAAATAATTAAAAATACTAACTTACCTAATCTTCTTCAGAATCTTGATTACGTGGCGGATACACTTTTCTTATTCATTCAATAAAATTATTGAAAAATTTTTTCTGCGAATTTTTCCTCCATACTTCCTCCGCTAAATAAAAAGCAAACTTCTCTTTATCACAATGTCTAAATACCCATTTCGAATTCACTTTAGTTAGGGCCATGGGATCCAAAAATTAACCAACACTGTTTCACACAACACAAAATAAAGCTAAATACAAAATTTCCAGATTTTTTCCCGATTTCCCCCTTTTTCCGATTAAAGAACCGTAATTCGTCCATTATCACATGACATATCCCATGATCTCTCATTTCCCTCATGCAAAATAATGCGTAATCAGAACTGAGTACTGCTCACATTATTACCAAAGTCCCAGGTAGTAACCTTTATCGCCTCCAAAATGTCGCCAAACTACCAGTTACCATATTGTAAAGATCAACCTAAAAAAACATACGAATTGCACATTCTTGGCAGCGAAGGAATCTACGAACTACGAAAACCTCACTTCAAAAATTAAGATAACAACAATAAATTTCAAAGAATACCATGTACACAGCATTCTGTTTAAATTTAAAAAAAAAAAAAAAAAATCTACGAATTACACAATTGGGCATTGCGCACAAATCAACCAATTAAATTAATCTAAATTACAAACAATTAAAAAAAACAACAATAACAAAATAAATTCATAGTAAAAAAACAATGAACATAACATTCTACAAAATAAAAACAGTAAAATAAAATGCACTTACCATAATATATTCCTGAATAAAATTTCGCCAGTCACAGCAAAAGCCTCTGAGCCTCTGAGCAAAAGTGCCACGATTTTGCTATATCACATGCCTTTCTGAGATTTAAAATTTCGAAAGTAACGATAAAAACTTCCTCCAAAGTTAACATACTACATGAAAACTAGGTACAACTCTAATATACACCCTAATTTCACCAAATGTGGCGATATGTGTTCTGCGCTGATTTTTGGTGTGATTGCGTGTTCTATGGCAACCCTGTTGACGTTGAAAAATCTTTCGTTGGAGCTCGTTGGTTCGCCTGTGTCTGAGAAGATGGGAGGGAAAGATAAAATGGTAGCTGTTGAATTGAAGTTCGGCAAAAGGAAATATGATTGTGGCTATCCTGTTGAGGGGTAGTGGGTATTTAGAAGTGTGGAAAGAGGGTCTGGGAGATTATTTTTAATGGCAGTGCATGATAGAAGTAGGGATTTGTGATTTTATTTATTTGTGAACCATAGTATAAATTTTCTGGATAGTGTGTCTGGTTGTCATGTAAATGCGATAGTGATTACATGGCAGTATGAAATTTATATTTCTGCTATTCGAAAACGCATTAATTCATGGTAAATGCATTTTATTTTATCCTTGTTCTTATTTTGTAGAATGTTATGTTCATTGGTTCGTTAGTACGAATTTCTGTCGTTATTGTTGTTTTTTTAAATTGTTTTGAAATTTATTTTAGTTTATTTTGTTGTTTAGTGTCTAGACTGTACAATTCGTAGATGTTTTTTAAAGTTGAAACAGAACGCTGTGTACATGGTATTATTTGAAATCTATTGTTGTTATGTTATTTTATTAAAGCAAGGAGTGCGAAGATCGTAGATTCCTTCCTTGCCTAAATTGTGCAATTCGTAGAATTTTTTTAAAGTTTAAACAGGATGCTGTGTACATGGTATTCTTTGAAATTTATTGTTGTTATGTTAATTTATTAAAGCGAGATCTGCGTAGTTTGTAGATTCGTTCGTTGCCTACATTGTGCAATTCGTAGATGTTTTTTAAGTTAAAACATGTCGCTATGTACATGGATTCTTATCAAATATTTTTGGTTAGAAACTTTACGTTTTTGCTATCTAAATGTTTTGTTTTTGTTTCGGATTTTTAGCTAAATTGTGTGTTCAAAACGTAGTTTTTGCATGTGCGAAAAAGACAGAAAAAGTTTTTGGAGACATTTTAGGCTAAAAGTTCAAAATGTAGACAAAAAATTTAGATAGTAATATGGCAGCGTAAAGTTGCTCCCCAAAAATATTTGGCGAGAAATTTGCCGACTTGAGGGCGCATATCAGAGTAGTTCCGAAAACTACAATCCAAATCTTAAACTCTGCTGACAGCTACATACTTTACCAGCAACCATTTGACTGCAAATCCACACAAGAACTATCAGAAACGTCTTTCTTCATCCAAGTCCTCATAGCAGCTCCACATTTCGGACTCTGTTTTAAAAGTCCCACAGAAATTCCAAAAGTACACTTCAATCCTCATAAACATACCCGTGAGCAAAAGACTCGTTAACAACTCCAACATCGTACCTTTTAATACTAAATTTACTTTCCACACAATCTGAAATACATGACTGAAATCTTGCCACCACGTCTATCATTGCAACATAGTAGGTCATTTCAAAACACGCACGACACGAACCAACGAGCAATTAAACCACTCCAGCAAAAGATTTTTCAACATCAACAGGGTTGCCATACACCATGCAATCATGCCAAAAAATAGCGCAGAACACATATCGCCACATCGGGTGATATTAGGTCGCATATAAGAATAGAGCCATTACGTATCGCCATTTCTAGCATAAATTTTAGAAAGCATGTCAGTGATCAGTAATCAGGAAAATGCAGGCAACTGGCATGCATGATACAGGGCATGGCAGAAGTGTGAGGACACTATGAATTGTAAAGACATTCTGTAAAGAGCAGAATACCTTTCACATATTAGCATGCGAAAGTTTCCCTTGCCATAAATGTGCCCACTTTGGCGAGTATTACAGGATGAAATATTACACCCCTATCATGTATACAAAATGCAGGCCTTCATACCTGCAGATTATGCACTATATGATGAGTTTGTAAATTGGTTTTTACAACAGCTAGCAATGTACATGTGTTATTCATGGATGAATGCACCTTTACTCATGAAGGCATTTCTAATACACACGGTGCACATCTAGCAAATCTCATGACAAACATCCTCATGCATATTAGAAACGTTTCAGCATAAATGTTTGAGCTGAAACTGTGGGTGATCATTTGATCGGCCCATACCTTCCGTCATTCCAGCAGAACATACCTCACATTTATGTAACAGGCATTATCAAAGTTACTTCAACTTGTTGCAGCCAGCATATAAGCACATATGTGGTTCCAGCACGACAGAGCACCATCCCATTTCAGCTTGGATGATTAGATGAATTCCTAGGACAATGGATTGGTCGGTTGCACCCCCACCTTGGCCACCATGCTCATCCAATCTCTCCTTTCTAGACTTTTTCCTGTGAGGCCATTTGAAAAGTCTTGTCTACGAAAGCCCCATTGATTCCGATGAGGACTTAGTTATCTGGATTTCTGTTGTGACAGGTGAGACCCAAGAAATGCCGGGCGTGTTTGAAAAAGTGCGCCGCTTGCTATCACGCAGTTATAATGACTTCATTACCGCAGGCAGTCACTCTTTTAAGCAGCTTCTGTAATTATGCCACATGCTGTCAATAAAATTATTTAGTACCTCTTCTATCTGTTTGGCGTTCAATTTTTTCATGTGACAGTGAGAGATACCTTTTAGTGGTTCACTGCTTGCTCTTCATCCATGCATTGTATGGTGAAAATTGCTTGTTTAGATGTTTTCTATCACCCTTTAAATTTTTGCCCACGAGTTTCAAAACAACCTGCATTTGGAAAGAAAAATTGCTTAATTTCGCAACTGCTGAAAGATTAAAGGAAGAGATTCTAGAGTCCCCTCTAGGCACCCCCCCTAAAGGCTACTAACTTGTAACCCTGGTTGGGAAACCCTGCAGTAAATTAAAGGCAGGGAAGAAAAATAAGCTTCAGTACTGATGAATTAAGCTGTTTAATTTACAATACACCGTAACTATCAAATATCGATGTGTACATGGATACAGAGTTTGTGCAATTCTTAAAAACATGCCAAGCAGTGGATGATTCTGCACTTTCCCCCATAAATGGATATTCTGATGTAAAATAAGAATACATACATTAATACAATAACAAAAGTTAAGAAATCAATTTTTTCCCAATTTTTCTCCAAATACCAAAATCTCCATCACAAAATTTTATTTTAAATATTCGAATATGAAAACACACACTTAGAAATTAACACTTTATTATTTTATTACTAAACAATATTATCATATTTTCTTTCCCAAATAATACTTCGAGTTTAGATTTTAACATAAAAAAAGTTGAAGCTCGATTAAAGGTAAAAACACAGCCTAAATAAAAAATAATAAATAAATATAACAGGATTCTTTAATTCAAATGTATCTTGAAGTTCCATACGTCTTTCAACAAATTAAAAAAAAAAAACTCCGAATGAGTGAAACACTATTTGAACGTTTGAAGTGTTAAAAGTACGCCCAAAGAGCTATCATTTTCTATTAAATCAGAAATTATTGAAATACAAATATGCATTTATTAATTTTAAAATAAATAAATGGATATTTGTATTTCAATAACATAATATCATTAGGAATACTGAAACACAGGCAATATATTTCCTCTACAGATATGCTATAATATACACTGATTTTGCGATTATAATACATACATATGCACACATCCATTAAAAAATTAAGAGCAGAGAAAACAAACTAAAAGCATATTGTTTTTCCTATATGAATATATAAAGTGCAGAACAATTTACTTTTTACAATAAACATCATATAATTAATGTAGAGAGAAAATGATAATTCAAAATCATAAAAATGTTCATACTTTATTCTCGTTCCCATTTTCCCTTTTTTCAAAACACATCTGAGCCCTCTCTATAAACATATTTTAGTTTCGGCGCTAAAAATCTGCAAGCCATCTACTACAAAAATTCAGAGGATAAGCTTTTTGATTTACATGTTATTCTGAAGGCACAATAACAACTGAGGACGGATAAATGGATTGAAGCGTTGAAATTAGACGGAAACACATATTAATTAATTTCCATGAAACTAGTAATCCATTGTAATCAAACACAATTATCGCGGTATTGCCATACTTAACGTCCATTTTATGAAAATAAATATCTCAACAAATTTTTCTGTAAATAAATTAAAATTGTAGTTATAAATACCTATAATCTCTCTTAAATTCAATTTTTGAAACGTGAAGTTATTACGGAAACAAAATTATTTTTTTTCATTAATCTAAATAAAATATCTAACATTAGTTATATGTTCCAAAAAATTTACTCATTAGTACAAATGTACTCATTAGTTCAAAATTATATCCAACTGAAGAAACATTTTCTAAGCAAGATTTAATTTTTAGAGGAGATCATTCAATTTTTCCTTTATATTTCCTTCAGATATAATTATTTCCGTCATTAATGGAATGGCAATCATGCTGAACGTCAACATCTGAAATCAGAAATTATTAAAGATTTTAGTGGGTGGGCTAGTCTAAGCAATTAATGTTAAATTCATGATGATTTTAACCCCATGGGCAGTAGTAGCTTTCATCAATAAATACATGTCAAAGTTTTTGATGTTACAAGCTATTGCAACTTTCTCGCTGTAGTATGTTTTGAAATATTATTTATTTTTCCAGGGGTAAGTGAAGTAAGTCTGCTATATATGTACATTTTGGTTAAATATTCACAAGTATTATACGGTAAATACTCGATTAGTGTTTTATAAAAAATAGCGAAATACTATTTTACATATTTAATTATTCTTGCATGTCGTCTGTCTTAATCATTAGTTGTGCAAGACGTCATCGACTGATACGACTGAATAATTTAGTTAATTAACTTCAAACTTGCAAAATGCATGTTTTTTAAATTCACATTTGTTATTAGAGTTGAAAGCATTGAAAATTAAAACATTGCTGACTCTTTTTTTTTTTTTTTTTTTTTTTAAAGAAACGATTTTAAAATTTGTGCCGATAATTTATGTCATTACTGCAGTTATGTCTAATGAATTTCAGTAAAAGTGTGTTCATACCATCATATAAACAAAGAAATGTTTTTGCCTCATAACCTGTTATTTTATTTAACTATTGTTATTGCTTTGGTGAAGATATCGTTAGTTTACAGTCTGAAAAATCATTAGTTTTGAAGGAGTCATTTTTCAAATTTTACGAAGCTGAAAAACAAAATGTATTATCAACATATTAAATTTTATCCTGGAATTTGTTAATCTTGGGTGTTGAATTGAATGTGTTTGCATATTTTATCAATATGAAAATTACACGTGTTGCCTTAAAATATAAGATACTACTGAATTTAAACTTTACGGAAAATTTTATATATTACAACATTTTAAGGGAATTTTAAGGAAAAAAAAAATTTATCTTATATTTCCTATTAAAAAGTAAATATTTTTGGTGGTCGTGTGTGCTTAATGCATGATATAATTAAAGAAAATAAGAGTAGACAATCTCCTATAACAAAAGAATATATTAAGTACTAAATTACAATTTAAATTACATTGCAGAGATCAACACAGAGCTCGGAACACAGTTCGTGCTACCGTCGCGTACAGTTGTCCGACGAGAAGTCTGAGTGAGTAAAGATGTCGCTTTGCTGCTCCGATTAAGAACTGGATTTTACACGTGGCGCCATCTCATGAATAGAAGTTGAAGTATCTGTCGGAACGCCACAGTACTCCCCCCCAAGTACCATCGGTACGTTATAAGTACTTTGGGTTAAATTTAACCTTTCTTCCAGATCTGGTAGTTTTAGGTTGCTCTTTAACGGGATGTAAGCTTTCTTCCGGGAGTGATGTTGATGAGGAAGTTGTTGGATCTTGCATTAGAAATGCTGGTTTGAGACGATCGATTCCAATCACTGATTGTTTGCCATTGCAGATGATGGTGAAATGTTTCGGTGTTCGTTTGACAACTTTGAATGGACCATCATATGAAGGTGTTAAAGTTGGCTTAATTGCATCGTTGCGCACGAATACGTGCGAAGATGTCTCAAGCGCAGGATGTACAAAATAGCTTGGCTGGTTATGCGAAGATGCTGGGGTTGGCGAGATATTGCTCATGGTCTCACGTAAACGTTGAAGGAATGTTGGAGGGTCGATAACTGGAGTAGATTCTGGGTGAAAGAATTCACCTGGCAGACGGAGGGTTGCACCATATAACATTTCAGCACAAGTGCTACCAATGTCTTCTTTGAATGCTGTGCGAAGACCAAGCAAGACTAGGGGTAAGGCTTCTGTCCAGTGTGTGCTACTGTGGCACTTCAGACCTTGTTTGAGAGATCGGTGAAAGCGTTCCACCATCCCATTTCCAGATGGATGGTATGGTGTTGTGCGAATATGGCGAATGCCAAGAAGAGAGGTGAGGGATGCGAACAAGTGACATTGAAATTGTCGGCCTTGGTCAGTAGTGATGGTGGTAGGCATGCCAAATCTTGAAAGCCACTGGGAGATGAATGCTCGAGCTACAGTTTCAGCGGATATATTTTCAATAGGAATGGCTTCAGGCCATCTTGTGTACCGATCAATACAAGTGAGGAGGTAAGTGTAACCATTTGAAGGAGGCAATGGGCCAACCAAGTCTAAGTGTACATGATCAAAGCGTCTTGCTGGAAGGTTAAATTGTTGAATGGGGCTGTGAGTGTGACGGGATACTTTACACCGTTGACATCTAATACATGAACGAGTCCATTCTGTGATGTCTTGATTCATTGCTGGCCAGACAAATCTGTCTGCGATCAGCTTTTTGGTGGCACGGATTCCAGGATGTGCCAAATTGTGCAAGGCATTAAACACTTCACGTCTAAAATTGACAGGAATATAGGGACGTATTCTATTGTTCTCTATGTCACAGTAAATTTTAAGCGTTGGATCAATGTGCAGCGGTTGTAACTGAAGGGAGGTTTGTGGATTTGAGATTAGGTTCTTGAGTTCCTCATCATGCAATTGAGCTTTTGCAATTTCAGAGAAATCTGGGGTAGTGAGGTTGATATTGTTTACCCGAGACAAGGCATCAGCGACACAATTATCAGTACCAGAGACATATCTGATATCTGTACTAAACTGGGCGATGAAATCCAGATGTCGAAGCTGACGAGGAGAACATGAGTCAGAGTTTTTTCTAAAAGCGAAGGTTAATGGTCGATGATCGGTGAAAATGATGAAGTCGTGTCCTTCCAAGTTGTGCCGGAAGTATTTAACAGCACAGTACACAGCAAGTAGCTCTCTGTCATATGTGCTGTATTTCCTTTCTGCAGTAGTAAGTTTTCTGGAGAAGAATGCCATTGGGGAAAGTCCTTTAGTGGTATGGGCTTGAAGCACTGCTCCTATGGCCGTGTCAGATGCATCTACCATTATAGAGAGCTGATCACTAGGTGAGTGATAAGAAAGTGTGGCTGCATTTGCCAGATCGTGTTTGCATTGCACGAATGCTGCAGATGCAGATTCAGTCCAAGGGACAGCTCGTTGATCGTTTTTTTTTTGCTATTCTTCAGAAACTCATGTAGGCAGGCTTGTGTTTTTGCGGCATTTGGCAGAAAGCGTCGGTAGAAATTTAACATTGCTAGAAAACGCTTCAGTTCAGAGATGGTTTTGGGCTGAGGTAGGTCGTTAATTGCTTTGACTCTTTCCGGTAAAGGTTTAACTCCGTTCTGGGTGATAAGACATCCAAGAAAGGAAACTGAGGGTTGACCAAGTACACATTTGGATGGATTTAGTTTTAATCCATGATCTTTAAGGCGAGTGAAAATCTGACGCAGATGTTGAAAAATGTTCTTCCGCATCTGTAGATGCAACCAGGATATCATCAAAATATGGGATGCAGAAATCGAGACCAGACAGTACTTGGTGTATGAAACGCTGAAATGTTTGGCCAGCATTGCGAAGGCCAAATGGCATATATAAGTACTCAAAGAGACCAAATGGTGTAGTCACTGCGGTCTTGGGCACATCTTCAGCATGCACTGGGATCTGATGATATGCTCTGGCAAGATCGAGGGTAGAAAATATGTTTGTTCCATGAAAAAGATGGGTACAGTCTTGGATATGTGGGACTGGATATCTGTCAGGGACTGTGACGGCATTAAGTCGACGATAATCTCCACAAGGCCGCCAGTCACCATTAGACTTTTTAACCATGTGAAGTGGACTGGCCCATGGACTTTTAGATGGGCGAATGGTTCCCTGTGCTAGCATGAATTCAAATTCTTTGCGAGCAGCTTTTAGCATCTCTGGAGAAAGACGACGAGGCTTGGAAAATACAGGTGGGCCATGTGTTTCAATGTGATGATACACTTCTGGCTGATGAGTATGCTGCCCTGATTTGGATGGGTTTAAAAATGTCAGGGAATTCTGCTAATAACCGATGAAACCGTGTGCTGCCCGATAAAACACTTATGTTGGTAGGTACGTTTGATACGTGAGAAGCTTGGCCCTGTGATGTCAGCTGAGTTGTAGCATCAATTAAGCAATTATTCTTGACATCCACTAGAAGGTGGAAATGTGTCAAGAAGTCGACACCAATAATTGCTTGAGTTACATCCGCAATAATAAAAGGCCAGTTGAAAGTCCGGCGCAAGTTTAAATCAAGTGTCAATAGTTTGGTGCCGTAGGTTGCAATTTGGGTACCATTGGCTGCATACAGTACAAGTTTATTAAGTTGGTGAGCATTTGTTTTAGTTCTCGGGAGCACTGATATGTCAGCTCCAGTATCTACTAGAAAACATAACTGAGTTGAACGATCAGCCAGTACTATTCTGTCGATGTGGCGGACATTCTGTTGGCCAGCAGAAGACCGCCCATTTAGTTTCCCGCTTGTACAAAAGTGCATGGAGGGGCACACTTGCGAGCTTGAGAGCCGAAATTCATATGATAAAAACATATGCCACTTGTGGGTTCTTTGTACTGCGTTCGAGTATTATGACGAGATTGACTCCTGCTTCGGGCACGAAATTTATTACGTGGGCCTTGATTTGATCGATTGTATCTCCGTGAAGCATGAAGACTTGTAGAGAGTTCAGATACTTTTTTGGTCAATTCAGCCACTTGTTGTTCGAGGGATGAACTGGAAGGTGCAGCATTAGCAGCACTGACATAAGCTGGAGTAACAAGTTCATTAATTTTGTCAGCCATTGCTGCTAAACGGGTTAGATCTTCATTGGAAGCAGCAAGAATTATTTGTATGTTATTAGGGAGACGCGAAAGCCATAGTGACTTCAACAAGTCGTCACTAAAATGGCTTCCTGCCAGATCACGCATTCGTGACAGCAAGTATGAAGGTCGCTGATCTCCAAGTTCAAGTCCTTGTAGTAAAGTACGTATTTTTGAAGATTCACTTTCTGAATAGATTTCAATGAGCCGCTGTTTCAGTTTGGAGTATTTATCACAATCAGGTGGTTTGAGAATTAAGTCATGCACTGAATTCAGAATATCAGACTCAATTGCTGCAACTACATGGTTGAATTTTGTAGAATCCTCACTAATGCGAGCGATAGAAAATTGTGCTTCGATCTGAGCGAACCACAATGAAGGATTATTTTTCCAGAAAGGCGGTGGCTTCACCGCAACGCGTGTGATTTGTGGCTCTGGTGGAATATCGTCGGGCATACTGATAGATAATTTTCACT